ACACAAAATCAGGCTTGTTTGATAGCATGTTTGATTATTGAATCTTGCTTGAAAATACCTAATTTTGATACACTGATCATTGAAAAGCTTGATTTTTTTGTTCCATTATGCATTGCTTAATTTTTTTTTCGTCATTTCTGGAAGTTTTTTTTTTTTTTTGTCAAGATAATTAATTTTAGCCCGGGAAGATTTTAATTCTAGCTCCGCCCCTAAAACTAAGTAACTATAATGTTAATGCTAACTAGTGCATCGTAAAATTAAAATGACATCTAAAAATAATAGAGGGGGTATCATTTTGCAACCTTAAAGTCCCTCCAGTAGGTGGACTTCTTGACAGCAGCAGACTCTCTCTTCAAATCCACGAACCGCATACTTGCTCTCCAGTTCATGTGCGTCGAGGGGCGAGGTCCCATGCAGGAGCTTTACCTCCTTCCTCGCGTCCCCCAAAGTTGTAACCAGCTCGTTTTCTCTTGTGGTCAAGCCATAGCTCTCCAACAAGGCAAGTCTACAACTATTTTGCAACCTTGTCGCAGCTATGATTGAGAGTTTCTTCCAATGAGTCAACAACATAGGTAGGTTGGAGATTGAGACGTGACTTCGTTCTTTTGTAGGTTCTAGAAAGTAGGAACAATGCGCTTCAACTTGATCGAACCGTGCGCTCTCACAAAAGAAAAGGATTAGCTGCAAGATTGCCCTAGCAATTATTTTCGGTTGGACGTGGTCTTTTTTCCCCAGTGTGTGGATGGCATTTTCGAGGCTCGATTTGTTGACAATTATGTCAACTATGGTACCATATCCCGCCATCGATAACATAGATTGGTAATTGCCGTAGAACTTGACATCATCCACGTCCTTCGCAATCTGTCATCGTGTCCCACACGGAGCCGATTCCACTTTGCTCCTTCGAGGAACTTAAATGCTACAAGGTAGAGATCCATAGCCTTGAACATCATGGAAAAATTTTGGACTTCCTTTGCCGGCATAAGAACAACTACTTCTCCTAAGGTGGAATCATTCGGTAAAAGACTTATTCCATTAATAGCAAATTTACTGGAGAGCTCCTCACGCTACTCCGCGTGGAAAGAGGTGAAGACTTTCCACCTAAAAATTTCGAACCTGAGTAATTTTCGGATTAAGCCCATAGTATCAAAATCTCTCAAGGGCCGGGGTGGGAGATCTGGAAGTCAGCAGTAAGGTGAGCGGGAAGATTCTGGCCACGTGGCGGTCTCCGACCGCGGTACAGTTGTGGAGTTGGCGGACACCGTGAAGGCCGGAAGTCACACCTGCATAAGGAGCTCCTGGAGCTTGGGCGGATATGCGGCGCGAGGGGGAGAGATAGAAATATCAAAATCTTCAAGGAATGAAATATGGAAAGAAATAAATATGCAAAGAAACCGATTGCCCACAATATGGTAATAAATATGGAAAGAAATAAATATGTAAAGAAACCGATGGCCCACAATATGGTAATATTGCATAAGAAGTAAAGAGATTTACTGGGGTTCTGCAGCTTAGGTGGAATGAAGGTTTGAAGGAATGAATATTTTCATGAAGGTTTGAAGGAATGAATGTTTGCGCCGATTGCCCACTGGACAAACTAGGGTAAAGATATTAGCTGACACCTAAATCCTTAAAAGTTTATACGAAGGATGTTGGTTGGTGTGACAAATAGCTAACTTTATTTTTTTGTGTTTGGTTCAAACTAGACATGGTCGCGGGCCGAACCGGCCCGTAATCGACCACATATGGGCCGGTCCGTTGGACCGAACCGCAAGTGTCGTGGTTCGATCCAAGTTCATGTTTTTTTTTTTGGTCCCGGCGGTCCGATCCGGGACGGGTCGGGTCGCGGGCCGACCGCCGGCAATGATTTTCTTATTTTTTATTTTTTTTCAATATTAAATTCACCAGGTCGGGCCGGGTAGGACCGGACCGACCCGGCGTCAGAGAATCAGGCCTGCCCATACTGCAATATATCCGTTGGGCCCGGTTGGGCTACAGTTCGGGCCAGTCCACGGGCCCAACTGTCTAAATAAAAAAAAAAATCTGGCCGTTGGATCGGATATAACCGTTGGGATCCAACGGCNCATTTATTTTTTTCCCCAATTTATTTTTTTATTCTTTAAATTAAAAAATATCGAGCTCTAGTGGTGGTCGTGGTTCGAATTCCGGACAGAAACGTAGAAATATTAGCACCGGCACGTCTTCGTCAAGACCTCCATTGCCGGAATTCGCGAGTCCATCGATACATGTTAGTTCAGAGTTGTTAATAATTTCAAGCAGCAATAGAGTTTCTTTTATTCCAATGAAGCCATCCTAACCTTGGCAATACAAACAATACTTGGGTCATCTTTATTTTTTCTGTCAACAAGGATTGACTGACTACTAAGACACATGACAAGAATGATGCCATAAGGTACGAGTAAATCCCTCTCCGCTTCAATTTCGACCATGAACACAACGTATCCGGTCGTGTCTATTTTGGTCGTGTCTATTCCAGTCTTTTCTATATATTACACAAACATGCAACAAACATTTTATGATTTAAACAAGTTGCAATAGAATGAATCAAGGAAGAAGAACAGAGAAAACATAATCGAGCCAGTTGTACTGAATTTAGGAAAATAAAGAGTTTGACAAACTAGTGCCTATAAGGGGCCCTTTCATGGCATAATTTACACAAAATCAGGCTTGTTTGATAGCATGTTTGATTATTGAATCTTGCTTGAAAATACCTAATTTTGATACACTGATCATTGAAAAGCTTGATTTTTTTGTTCCATTATGCATTGCTTAATTTTTTTTTCGTCATTTCTGGAAGTTTTTTTTTTTTTTTGTCAAGATAATTAATTTTTTTTTTCTTTTGTGGAATCGAACTTCAGATGTCGCCTATAGAAAGAAAAAGAGAACATGTTAGTTCAGAGTTGTTAATAATTTCAAGCAGCAATAGAGTTTCTTTTATTCCAACGAAGCCATCCTAACCTTGGCAATACAAGCAATACTTGCGTCATCTTTATTTTTTCTGTCAACAAGGATTGACTGACTACTAAGACACATGACAAGAATGGTGCCATAAGGTACGAGTAAATCCCTCTCCGCTTCAATTTCGACCATGAACACAACGTATCCGGTCGTGTCTATTTTGGTCGTGTCTATTCCAGTCTTTTCTATATATTACGCAAACCTGTAGTAAACATTTTATGATTTAAACAAGTTGCAATAGAATGAATCAAGGAAGAAGAACAGAGAAAACATAATCGAGCCTGTTGTACTGAATTTAGGAAAATAAAGAGTTTGACAAACTAGTACCTATAAGGGGCCCTTTCATGGCATAATTCACACAAAATCAGGCTTGTTTGATAGCATGTTTGATTATTGAATCTTGCTTGAAAATACCTAATTTTGATACACTGATCATTGAAAAGCTTGATTTTTTTCGTTCCATTATGCATTTCTTAATTTTTTTTTCGTCATTTCTGGAAGTTTTTTTTTTTTTTTTTTTTGTCAAGATAATTAATTTTAGCCCGGGAAGATTTTAATTTTAGCTCCGCCCCTAAAACTAAGTAACTATAATGTTAATGCTAACTAGTGCATCGTAAAATCAAAATGACATCTAAAAATAATAGAGGGGGTATCATTTTGCAACCTTAAAGTCCCTCCAGTAGGTGGACTTCTTGACAGCAGCAGACTCTCTCTTCAAATCCACGAACCGCATACTTGCTCTCCAGTTCATGTGCGTCGAGGGGCGAGGTCCCATGCAGGAGCTTTACCTCCTTCCTCGCGTCCCCCAAAGTTGTAATCAGCTCGTTTTCTCTTGTGGTCAAGCCATAGCTCTCCAACAAGGCAAGTCTACAACTATTTTGCAACCTTGTCGCAGCTATGATTGAGAGTTTCTTCCAATGAGTCAACAACCTAGGTAGATTGGAGATTGAGACGTGACTTCGTTCTTTTGTAGGTTCTAGAAAGTAGGAACAATGCGCTTCAACTTGATCGAACCGCGCGCTCTCACAAAAGAAAAGGATTAGCTGCAAGATTGCCCTAGCAATTATTTTCGGTTGGACGTGGTCTTTTTTCCCCAGTGTGTGGATGGCATTTTCGAGGCTTGATTTGTTGACAATTATGTTAGCTATGGTACCATACCCCGCCATCGATAACATAGATTGGTAATTTCCGTAGAACTTGACATCATCCACGTCCTTCGCAATCTGTCATCGTGTCCCACACGGAGCCGATTCCACTTTGCTCCTTCGAGGAACTTAAATGCTACAAGGTAGAGATCCATAGCCTTGAACATCATGGAAAAATTCTGGACTTCCTTTGCCGGCATAAGAACAACTACTTCCACTAAGGTGGAATCATTCGGTAAAAGACTTATCCCATTAATAGCAAATTTACAAGAGAGCTCCTCACGCCACTCCGCGTGGAAAGAGGTGAAGACTTCCCGCCTAAAAGTTTCGAACCTGAGTAATTTTCGGATTAAGCCCATAGTATCACAATCTCTCAAGGGCCGGGGTGGGAGATCTGGAAGTCAGTAGTAAGGTGGGCGGGAAGAGTCTGGCCACGTGGCGGTCTCCGGCTGCGGTACAGTTGTGGAGTTGGCGGACACCGTGAAGGCCGGAAGTCACACCTGCATAAGGAGCTCCAGCAGCTTGGGCGGATGTACGGCGCGAGGGGGAGAGATATAAATATCAAAATCTTCAAGGAATGAAATTGCCCACAATATGATAATAAATATGGAAAGAAATAAATATGCAAAGAAACCGATTGCCCGCAATATGGTAATAAATATGGAAAGAAATAAATATGTAAAGAAACCGATTGCCCACAATATGGTAATATTGCATAAGAAGTAAAGAGATTTACTAGGGTTCTGCAGCTTGGGCGGAATGAAGGTTTGAAGGAATGAATATTTTCATGAAGGTTTGAAGGAATGAAAGTTTGCGTCGATTGCCCACTGGACAAACTAGGGTAAAGATATCAGCTGACACCTAAATCCTTAAAAGTTTATACTAAGGATGTTGGTTGGTGTGACAAACAGCTAACTTTATTTTTTTGTGTTTGGTTCAAACTAGACATGGTCGCGGGCCGAATCGGCCCGTAATCGGCCACATATGGGCCGGTCCGTTGGACCAAACCGCAAGGGTCGTGGTTCGATCCAGGTTCAT